CAAAGCATCTGGATCATGCTGGGATTTAGCACTGTGCTGCGTGGGTTTACAGCCCTTGCCATACAGACATTTGCTCACTTTATGCTCACAGGCAACAGTGCTTTTACCAGATGGGCAAGTCTGCAAATGTTCCATAGTTACCTGAGTCATTAACACCTGCAGTACTAAACAACTTAGTGCCCTAGAGCTCTGGTCTAAGGCACCAAGTGGGCGTCAGGCTCTTCTCCCAGGCAACCAGCAGGAGGACAAGAGGGCACAGACTCAAGCTCTGCCAGGGGAGGGTTAGGTTGGATATTAGGAAGAGATTTTTTACAGAGAGAGTGCTCAGGCATTGGAATGTGCTGCCCAGGGAGGGGATGGATGCACCATCCCTGGAGGTTTTGAAGATGAGACTGGATGTGGCACTTAGTGCCATGGTCTAGTAACCAGGGTAGGGTTGGACTGGGTGATCCTGGAGGTCTCTTCCAACCAGGTTGATTCTATGATCCTATGATTCTGGTCATCAGCTGAGAAACCAAAATGCTCTGCTGATTCCATATTTCATTATACTTGTGCAACTTGAGAGACCTTTTCCAGGAGGAAAAGAGCCTTCTTGGAGCCAGCATTAAAAGCTGGAGAGCAAGCACACTGCAAAGCAGGACATCTGCAGCAGGACAAGAGCTTTATGCTGCACAGCCAGTGCCTGAATGTCAGGATTTGTAAGATCAAGGTGACTGACTGCCTTTCTGAAATCTTACACCTGTATTTTAAGGTCACTTTGACTGCTCAGGACTTCTTGGTTGCTGTTTGTAGTACATGATCATGGCTACAAAACTGTTAAAAAGGGCCAGACAGCTCACTCCTACAACCAAGGACTTTGGTCTGCAGAATCTGTTAGTCTTTCCCCTGAGAGGGTAAACGTTGGGAATGAGACAGTCCTGTTTAAACCACAGGGATGGATGATTTTCCATACCAAGTTTTACTTTGAGCCTCTTGTCTGTGGGCACGCAGTGTGCTGCCGTCAGGACCCAAGATGGATGGATGAGAACACCCCCACACACAAACTGCCCTTTGGCATTTTGCAGCAGAACCTGAAACAACAAACAAGAGGTGTGACACTGCATGGAGCATGGCTCACAAAAATACCTTACATGATCTCTGGGGCTGTCAAATACCCAGATGCACCAAGCACCAAAGTGTGTCACATTCACCGAAGCCAAAGCCCCACAAAGGGACAAAAGCTCCATGAATAAGGTCTCTGCACAACACCTACAAAGAGGTTTTAAATGTTCTTCCTGAATGAGGGCTGTCTTCACCCAGCAGGGGGTGATTCTGGTCACTGCAAAGAAGCACCGTGTGCTCAGATCTTTGGAACAGAGCTCGAATGAGGGGATTATTCTTGTGCCCCACACCAGACACAGTGCAACACTCAGGCTGCAGCTCTCATGCTACGGTGTAAAAGGGCCTTAATGTCCAAGAGAACCAAGCCCTGACTATTTGAATTCATTAGTTCCATGATAAGCTCTGCGAGGTCTCCTCTTTCTCTGCAATATCCCAACCTGCCAAGGCATATTTTGCTGATTAAATCTGCTAACTTCAATTTATGACAGACAAGGCTTATAAGAAAGGAGGAGATTAGCTCCCACTCCCACCATAAGGCTGTTAAGGGAGCTGGAGCACACATCACACAGTACATGTTGCAGGGATTGAGTAGCTTTCCCCAGGATGGAGAAACAGTAGGTGAGCATCAGCACCATCCCCTCTCTTGGCAGGGTTGGCAAGGCAAGACAAAAAACTTGGCAACAGTGACAAGGTCAAGAGTCCTAACAGATAGCAAACTATTGTTTCCTGCTACTCCAACAGGGTTGCTTTTGAAAAAGCTAAGCTAATGGAATTTTAGCTTCATGTGACACCACCACTAGCAATGTAGGAGCCTTTCTGGAGCAGCTGGGCAGGCAGAGCTGTTCGGGAAGAGAACTCTTTTCTCCTTCCCTGCCAAGGGCTGCCTCCTCTTCTTCCAGCTGTTCCCTCAATGAGCCGAATATTGAAGTCTGCTTTGGCTTCGATGAGGTCTACCTTCACCCTTCCACAGGGGAACTCCACTGCAGGAGGTGCAGAGAAGTTCACTAGCAAAGCCCAGATGATCACCCAATACAAAACCTCTTCCTAGAGCACTCCCTCTGTCTCTAACCTAGGCAATACTGATCAGAGGCTACATGGAAGTCCCTCAGTGCTTGGCAGAGGGGGTACTCTCCTGACTCCCCTCTTTGTCTCCATGAAGCAAACACAGATTAAGGGCCATAAAGTGGGTATGGAGTTGGGAAATGCAGGCACAGAATTACTCTGTGTGACATAGATATTTTGAAAGCCAGTACAAAGCACACTGCAGACAATTCTCCCATAAATCTCTCTTACTTCCATTTAACAATCTCTGTCAAACCTGGACCACAGACGTTTCTCCTCTTACCTACAGGTTTGCACTTGGTGTGGTCATTCATCAGCTGGTACCCTGATGCACAGCTGCACAGGCGGCGCTGGTTGGCAGGGTCATCCCTGCAGAAATGCTCACATCCCCCATTATCCACGGAACAGTTGGTGTATTTGACCTCTGCAGGAAAAAGGAACAGCAGGAGAGACGTGAGAAACTGCAAAGTCAGAGTCACAGGAAGGTAAGGTGGCAAAGTGACACTGTGATTCAAGGGGCAACAGCTGTCAATAGATTTGGGATGACAGTTGTGGACTTTAATGGCTCTGAGACAGCAACAGACCTTGGTCCAGAACCAGGCAGTGGGGAGATGGAGAAAATGGATCACTGTCAGGGCAGTTAGACCAGAGAAGAGAAAAAAAACCAACCCCTCACTACAAACGAGTCAGCACAAAGTGTGACATATAATGTTCGTCCCTAAATATGTTATCCAGCTATTGTCCAAGAAAGAAATTGTCACAGCAATGACAACCAGGTATTTGCAGTGGATTGTACTTTCCCTGTATTTAAATACCCCATCATCATCCCTGTGCTGACAATTCTGAAGCAACTGAAGCCTCTGCTTTACAGAGCTATTTCCAGGATTTGTCCAAAATTTGGATATCTCTGATCTCCAGACTTCTCCCATGGCAACACAAAGTGAATTTTGCTTTAGATAAGCACAGGTAAACCTCTTACCACATCATGAAGCAAGAGAGAAATCACACTAGCAAAGGAAGTAAGTGTGCTGTGCAGTGACCAAAGTGTCAATCCCTAATGCACAGAGCTCCTTGCCACAAAGAATGTCATGTTATAGTGGATGAAATGCAGCATTACCATAATTGCACAACTCCCCCTCCCAGCCTTGGTTACAGATGCAAGAAAATTTTCCAATACTGTCCTTGCAGGTCCCATTGGAACAAGGCTGTGGCTTACACTGATCTCCATCTGAAACAGAAGCAGGAAAATCAGGCCCTGAATCATACAGAGCTCACAGATCCAACATCAACACAAACAGACCCTCTCCAGATTCCCAAACATCACCCACGGTTTCTGTCACTGAGTGGTGACACCTCCATGGTGCTAGCCCAGAGACAGAGGCATCTGTTTGGGTTCTCAGTTACAGCTGCAGTGAGTGGAGTGGGCAGAGGAGGAAAAAAGAGCAACACCTGAGGCAGGGCAGCAGCAGGTTACTGCAGAGCTGGGTTTCCTCTTTAGACCATGCCAGGCAGGTTAGAGCAGCAGAGAGCACTTTTCACCAGTGCCTTAGCTCTGGGGAGATGACTGATGCCAGGCACAGGTGCACCTCAAGTGTTTTAGGAAGGCTGCTTGGATGATAGAACAGGAAATCTTTCTTTGCACACTCCATATAGGAGAGAATGAGAACTTGACTCAGAATGTAACACATGGCAGAGGAAGGATGAGTACCAGTTACTCTTGAGGAAGCACAGAGAAATGATTAGCAAAGTCTTTTACTCACCTACATATATGGACCAAAAACCTAGCTGTGGAGAAAAAAAATCATATTAAGGTGAGAAAACCATTTTTAACAAGTGAGGGATTTCAAATACATCATGGTCGTGGCCAACAAAGCACAGCACCTTGGTCAACAGCATCAGTCTCATTCTCCAGCATAATGACTGGCACAAGTAACTGGCCAAATGATCCTGCACTGCCTATACTCAGCACGAATCCCCCCTGCCCTACTTGCAGACCCACCAGCACCACAGCCCCTTGATATCCCCACAGCTTCTCTGTTTTCTGGTCACTCACTGCCAGGGAAGGCACCTGAGTTGCTGAGTGCACAGTTCACTTGTGCCCAGGCAGACAAATCGTGGGCCCCTCTCCACTCTGGGGTCTGAGGGGCAGCAAGGATTGGGTCATCCTGTGCTGTCAGAGCCTACTCTGCTCAACACAGTAAAAAGAAGCCCAAGCCAAGACAACAACTGAGTGTGGAAAGGGTCAGGAATCAATGATGTTGACAATAAAGGTTGTGCTCAATTGAACACATGAGGTTTGGGGAAGGAAAGAGAACCTAGTGGCGAGAGAAATGTTTGCCAGGCACAACTGGGAAACTGGGGAGATACAGTGAAAGGCAACCAGGGCTGGCAAATGGACAACAGGGGGCAAAGGACTGGAAGGACTGGGAAAAACTCAGTGGCAGCAAGACTAGCCAACAGGGTCAAGCAAGGATTGGGATTATTTGGCTGAGACCTAAACCTCACCATTAGGTCAGGTGGGACATGCATGAGCAGCCAAGTTTTGTGGCCCATACAGGTGGTAACTAGGCAAACTTTGTAACACAATTACATTCAAAACCATCCCTATGCCTTAGGAGTTGGGAATGATTCATGTTCAGTGCTGACAACAACATCTCCTATGCCCTGGGTTGCAATATTTGAACAAGATTGATGAAGTCCCTCACTCCTTAAAAAAAACAACTTACTGTTGCCTCCTTGGTTTCAAATATCTCACTGACTTCCTCAAAGTCACAGAGCTCTTCCCTGCACTCACGCTCCACAGAGCCTGGTTTGAGCTCCTCCAGAAAAGAGTTGGCTCGCTTCTGGATCCTCAGCACTCGGTTTGCATCTTTAGAGCTGTAAAATACTGGAAGCAAAAATGTGAAAGCACATGCAGAGAAAAGAGCTGGCTGAAAATGGGTAGTGGTGCTTGCCAGAGGACACTTATCAGAGCAATAGCCATGTCCAGTGCAAGAGGGGCCACCCTGGACACCACAAGCTGTCCGTGCTGTGCAACAGAAGCAAGGTCCAGCCTCACTCTGTGGTACTCAGCAAGGTCCAGCCTCACTCTGTGGCTCTCAGCAAGGTCCAGCCTCACACTGTGGTTCTCAGACAGCTCCTGGGGCTCAGGAGGGCTGGAACCAGGTAGCTGGCACAGCCCAGCACTGCCTGTCAGCTGCTAGAGGAATCCAAACCCCCCTAATGGGAACAATTCCAGCCACTCCCTCTCACTGACAGAGGAGCAGGAAATACCCTTAAAGCGACTGGGAAAGGGTGAAGGCTATTTCTAAAGCAAAAACTTACTTGAGGTGCTGCAGACCCGTGAAGGGCAGGCAGCCAGGAGCAGCCCTATGGTGAGGAGCTTCCACATGCTGCAGCAGGAGTCACCTGAGGAGAAGACAGGTGTGAACAGGAGCACACTGCTGAGCCTGTTCAGCCAGGCCTTTCACTTCCTTTGCACAAAACAGCTCCCTCACTGAATGCTGTCGTGCTCTGACTTTCTCCGTCCTCTGCTCTGGAGCAGCCGCTCACCAGTCCCTCCAGACTGGTTTGCTTGTTCCCTTGAAGTCATCAGCAGCTCTCCCAGAACACTTCTTGTCTGCCCCAACATCCTCCCCTTGTTACCGCACGTTTTTGAGAAGATTTAAGCTCCATGAAAGCAAACTGTACTTGGAAATCCCAAAGGATACTCGCAAAGCACTTACTGGTTTATTCAGTCGGAATCAGCGTGATCTATTCTTCCACCATGAGCTCTGCTGGAACCGAGTTAATCCATAACTTCAGATATTTACTCTTTGGAGTGACATGAAGTGCTTTCTTTTCAGTCATTAAACAAACAGTGCTCAGGGGGAGCTTGACAATTTACACAGGGGAAAAGTGAAACAGCTGAGGGACCCACTCTACCTTTTTAAATGTTTGGGTTTTTTTCCTTTGGATTCTCTGGCAAGTAGAAAAGACTTATAAGTTTCTAAGTGCATCCACCCAGTGCTGATGTAGCTTGAGAGAGATCCTACGATCTTCTCCCAAAAGGGACACACTACAATTTTTAAGAGTTCTCTCACTTCACCTTTCATCAAAGGTTCCACCACCAAACAGCCAAAGCCACTAACCCCCCTGAGCCATGAGGCACCAAGGTACTTCCAGATTTGCCCAGTGTTGCACACCAGGGAACCATTCCAATGTACACACTGACAGTGCTGAGCTCACTGCTTTCCAGTGAAAAGAACAGGGATATTTCTGAGGAGGGTCACAAGAGGATGAAGAGGAGAAAATGGAAATTTCACAAGAGAATGGCAAGACAGAGGCTCCACATCATTTAAATTAACACTGTGGAGAGTTCTGACTCACACTGTCTTATGAACAGGCATCAATAATCAAAGGAAATCACCTCCCTGAAGCAAAAAGTGTCACAGATCTTTCAAATTTCACAGCTTAAAGATACCTCCCTCACAACCTGAAGGGACAGAGCACACCAGAGTGCACACTTTGTTTCTCTTCTTTCTCCTGTGTACAAAAAATGTAAAATGCTCTCCTTTTGCCTCTTCTACAGCAAAGTCTCCTTGGGCTACTCTTCTTAAAATATAAGGTCCTTGGAGGCCAAGGTTTTGCACAGCTCAGAGGGGCACAGGAACACTCTCAGTGGAAAGCACATGTGCAGGGAGGCAGGGGACACCACATCCTCAGTGGACTGCTTGGGAAGTGCTGCTGTGAATCCAGTTTTCAGCCTGGGAGCAAGAGGAATCTGACAACCCATGCAAAGCAAGCTGCCTGTTACTTCCCTGGCTGGGATGTGCTCACACCCACTGGTGCTGCAGCTGTGCACAGCCTTTGCCAAGAGAGAGACACTTGCTCCACCTCCTCCCCTGGCAGTTCAGCCCATGGGCCAACCTGCCCATGGAGGAGGAGGACAAGAGGGCTGAGGCCAGCCCCTTCCCTACTCCCCAAAGCCACTGGCCACAACAGATTTGTGTGCTATCCTGAGGTCAACAGAAGTGGTGTGTTTTTTAGCTCATACACAAACTGCCCCACCTCTCCCTTTCTCCTGAAGGGAAACTTACACCTCCCAGGTCACTTGGTAAGCCCCCAAAGTGCTGGAACTCTTCAGACAGAAGTTGCTAGATAACTGCTATAAATCTTTTAGCTGTTATCAATGTGAAATGTTCCTTTCTGCAGGCTCAGAACCTTTTCATTCTGCCCACATGAGAATTAGACACATCAAGCTACTCCAGGCCCAGCTGGGGGTGCACAGTTACACATCCCAACCACAGAGCAGCCAAACAAGGGCTTTACCTCCTGACTCTGCAGCTGCTTCAGGGGTCAGGAATGGCAGGCCTGCTTCTAAAACTGCTGTCTGCAGTGCTGCCCACTCAATGGGAGCAGATCTCCTTGACTTCTCAACTCTCCAGATGCTTCATGCTCTATTCAAAAAGCCAAACACATAAACCTTCCCAACCCAATGACTCTTAGAACAAGGGAAACAGCAGCAGAATACATTGTTTTTAAAAGAAATAAACTCATCTCCCTTCCAACCCACTCCACCCTCCCCAGGTCCACTGGGTAGTTACCAACCAAACCAAGAGGATGGTAGCCCTGAGCAGGTGGTGTGACATCCCAGTAATGATGCACTGAGTGGGGCAATGATTTTTTTGCTACTGGCTTCTGCCATATAATTAAAAAAACCCACCAAAATGAATTACCTGTTTCAGAGGAGTAAGAACATCTTCTGTCTCTGGTGTTGCTTTCTTTGCTTGTTCCCTGTAGTGCCACTTAAAGCAGAGCCTGACACTCAGGCCTGGTGTGTGTGTGTGTGAGTAAACGCAGTCATTTTTCTTTTCTCCTTATTTCTGCTCTAGGTAACTAAGATTTCAATGACTAGTTTCATCATTTTCTTCTTGCAACAGTATATAGCAGTAGTATGATTTCTCATGTGCCTGTCACATAAGCTATTCTCTGCAAACTTCTGTTTAACTATCAAGTACAAAGTGCTTTTCACACAGAAAATATTCATAACCATTTTCAGTTACTTTCCATCTACTTTTCAGCAGCACTGTGGAACTCTACAAACATCCTCAACTTAAATTAATCTGCTGGAAGTTTCTTGTCAGGATCTTATGAACACACCAAACTGTGCAGATGGAATAGAAAGCTCACCACAATCCACTCCATGGGTTGCTCACACAAACATCTCCAAATCTTTTAGTTTCAAGTTTACAGGTGTCATTTTATGGCATTCAGTTTCTATATTTAATGAGAAAATTCACTTTTCCCACATCCCTGTAAATGCACTTTCATTTACTCCAGTCACTGTATACACTGCCTGCAATAAACTGAGTGCACAGAGGCCCAAGTGGAGGAGAGAACAAGTGCTCTTCTCTCATCCTGGTACTGTGCCACCATGGCCGGGGACACACCACCAGGTGAGAGGTCTACAAGCACATGGAGGTAACTACACACACTTTGCTGAGTTTCTGACAGTGTCTTCCCATCTAGCCGTGGGTTTGTAGGCAACAGAGCTATGACCAGGATAAGCACCAGTAGAGCAACCACATTGAAAACATCATTTGTTCACTGCAAGATAGAACTAACAACAAAAAAAACCCCTACCAGATGTCTTCTACTCTGTGCCAATGAAGCCAACACAAAAAATGCTACAAAACTGGCCTACAACACTCACATTGACCATTTTGCTCCTCTCTAAGGAACAGCTCTGAGCTTCTGATGCGAGTCAGGATAAAGCCATTTGATCACAGCACAGGTTTTTATTAGCTGGTTCCCACCAGATGGGCACAGCAGCCCTCTCACACAATGAAACCAGTAACAGAGAATCCTTCCTGGAAGCTCAGAAACATGTTTACTTTATATACAAGAAAAACTTATTTACAACGATCAACGGTAAACTATGTACAAAAAAAAATTACAAGAGACATTTCCATGGTAATCACTGTATAAATTAACACAATAAATAGGAGGGAAGCAGGCCCCATTCTTAAGGCACAAAACCTTCTTCCCAAGACTATACAGGGATTCACTTGCTTCCCTATTCTTTTGATAGAATCACAGGAACGGCGGGGAGACCCCTGAGGAACAACGGTGGGTGGACAATGATACAGACATGCAGTCACTGCTGACAGCTGTAGAAAAACATCATTTTTCATCCTTTTCCTTTTTTCTTTTTACAGTACACACATCTTAGGATACAAAATATTTTGTGTAAACAGTCTCTGTTAAAATCACATCGATAGTATGCACAGTTTGAAACAATGCTAGAACAATGAACAAAGCTCTCCGTACGAGAGAGACGGGGACTGGCAGTGGAGGCCTTGGTAAAGCTAGAGGCTCTAGGGTGCCCAGCTCTGCCAGGCCAGCACCCCTGGTTGCCCAGAGCTGGCTCCTGCTGCAGTGGGGGACAAGGTCCCACAAGCCAAAGCAGAAGGGCTGTATTAGCCCTGCCAAAGGTAGCCCAGAGCAGGGCCCTGCTGACAGCTGCTTCATGGGCCAAACCTCCCTCGAGTCCCCACTTATCCCAACAGCATTCCCCAGAATCTGCCACTAAATATCCAGGATGGTGCCAGAATGTGAGATAATGGACTGAAACCTCTTCCTAGCAGAAGAAACCCTATGCCCAGCTCACTGCAGCCACTGCCAAGGGTGAGGGTTGACGAGCAGAAGGTGCCGCGTGGCTTTCACAGGAGCTCTGGTTTTATAAGAGACTAAACACCTGTGTGGCATGTGCAGTTCTAGCTTCTCTCAAGGTGATGTTTCACCTGAGACTGCTGTCTCTTATTTTGAGAAAGCAGCAGAATTTTTACTGTCTTTCCCGAGTTTCTCTCCCACAAATAACTATCAGATGCAGAAGAGGAACTCGGAATAATGTAGCCAGGAGTTCAGCCTGGTCCCTACTTTGCAGACAGCTCTCACTGATTTTTGACACAAATTCTCTTTGTCTATTCACAAAATCTCTGCAACAGAAATCTGCACTATTCCCAGTGAGACACACAGAGCTATAACCACTTTATTGGATCTATACCTTAATAAATATTGAAAGGCACTCAGGTTAAACATGGATCCTATTTTCTAGCTCTTAAAAGAAGATGAAACTCTCTCCCTGCCTCCAACAAGCAACAGAAGGAAAATACTGGCTGGGAACACCTTGATAAATGTGCAGGTACATAAAAAAGATCTGAACCCATCAACATGCAGATCATAAAAGCACAATAAATGAAGATGGGTCTGTGCAGGCATCAACACTCATAGCAGATGGCTAATGGCCACAAGGCCTTGGAAGATATGGCACAGATTAAGGAACATGCCTGTAGTAGAAACTCTTTGGATTCCTCTGTTGTGCAGAGAGGAGCTGTTTCTATGGAGGCA